CAAAATATAAAACAAAGAGAATTTTCAAACATAGACACACAAAAAAAAAAAACATCTTCACATAAATTCAATGAAATTCGATTACTAAGATAAACGAAAAATAAAATTAAAAAACATGATGTACAAGACATTAATACTATAATCACTGAGAAATTCACAATTGGCCTAATTACTGAGATTAAAAAAAAATCACTGAGATTACAGGAAGGCCCTAATTACTGAGAAATTCATAGAAATTCAATTACACATAAAGGCCCTATTATAAAACAAACTCAGAAATTCACTGAAATTCATAACTCTTCAAAAACCCTAAAATTTTCGAATTCAAGACAAAAATGAAAATTATGAACAAAGTCCTAAGGAACAATAGCTACTTTACCGTAGGGATAAGAGCTATCGATACGTTGAAAAAAATCCAAAAATAAAAAATTACACTTGTTAATGCCTTGGTGTCGAGGAGGAGGACGGTTTGTGCCAGTCGGATGGAGATTTCTTTTTCAAGTCGCCCATTGCTTCCCGCCGAAGAGAGGCAAACGACGATTGAGACAAAGACAGTGACGAAGGTGACGGGAAAAAAGAGAGAGAGACGACGGCGACGGGAAAATTGTGGGAGAGAGGAATGAGACGACGAACGATTTTGAGGAAGGAGGAATGAGACGGCGAAGAAAGGGACGACAAAGAGAGAGAGAGAGAGAGAGAGAGAGAGAGAGAGAGAGAGAGAGTTGAGACGAAGAGAGAGAGAGAGAGAGAGGAATGAGACTAATTTTATATTTAGGTAAAAAAAATGAATAAAAATAGTACTTGTACAATACATGTGTACTACACAACTGTTGAGTTGAGAAAATATATGATAAAAGTTATTATCTTTAATTGATCTCAATTACATCGACCCTTGGTGCTTATGATGCAGGGATACGTGAGTCACCGCCTAACGGACAGTCTATACCCAAGAAAAAGGGGGGGTTTTCCCTCTTGAACTTTGAACACACCTTCCCGCCCTTATCTAGATCCCGAACACACAACCCAGAGTGCTTACGTTCCCTCGTTCGCTCGTACTGCCTTTACTGCTCACTATCCTATCGCTACTCCTTAAATAAATTTTTTATTCAAGAATTTTGATGGACTAATTGATTAAAAAAAAGGAATAGACAATGTAGAAAATGATTTGTAAATGGTAATTTAAGAGAGAAATATGGAAAAAAAAATTATAATATGATAAACTTGCTACTTGCCCAAATTAAGAAGGAAATGTGTACTAAGAGAAAAAATAACAAAATTAATTATACATTTACCAAGTTTGAAGTT